TTCTGCTGCTAATGCTTGGTATTGTCACACTCCAAGGGGCTACAGCCACTCAGTTTAAATAAAAGCTGTTTCAAGGAGGAACAGGTAGCAGCAAAGGGGCAATGCTGGGAAGTGGCAATTAGGGTAGGTTGAATGTAGAATACAAAACAATAGTTGGGCACAATCCCCTGGAATCCTGCACTGATAAGCCCTATTGAAATATATAGGAACAGAACTTGTGGGAAGGGTAGTGAATATGGGGAAGATTCTGAGGGAAGGTCAGTCTCTTTTGCAGGAACTTCTGTGCCTAAATAGGTGGAAAGGAATGGGGCCCAGGCTAGGGCAGTGGTAACCAATGTGGTGCCCACCAGCTGTTGCTGAAATAAAAGTCACTTTGTCCCTGAGCACTGGCCATGGTGGTTGTAGTCCAACAACAACCAGCAGGCACCACATTGTCTAGCCAGGTCTTAACGTTATTTATTGGGTTAGCCTTTAATGAACTAGAACCTATGGATTGAGAATACTGGTTCTCTGCTAGATTTTATTGATTCTAATGGCTGCTGTTCCTGGGCTGCCTTAGGAATTGTGCACTGAAAGATGGTCTAGATAAAATAAATTCACACACAGCTTAAGCAGGCTGTGTGCTTCACAACTATGCATGTTATTCAATAGATGGCAGACACATGAGTTTCCTATGGACTTTTTATTTCCTCTCCATTCTGTTCATGCTAACATCTTTGCCCGGTACTCCTCTAGTTTGGAGCAGCAAGAGCTGCTGGAAGGCTACCTGAGCTGCCCTGCCTCAGTTCTTTCTTCAAAAGCCCTGTATGGAAGTTCTGCTTGCAATCAATTCATTAGGGAAAGTGTCAGATCATTACTGTGGATTACTAATAGTAGAGAGCAAATCTATAAAAGCCTTAGTGGTGTTGGCAATCATCTAATAAAGAAATAAAGAGACATAATAAAGTTAGCATTTAACCCAGCACTAATGATGGAGCTCTGTTATTACTCTTTTTTCTGACCTTTGCCTCTAGGTGCCATTGACATGTTGATTTATGCATATATGAAAAGCTCTGCATATGATGCATGTGTGTGTGTAGCACTTTTTGTTTCTGAACTCAGCACTAATCCATAATGACAAGCATGGTAGAGTTGGCAGACAATTAGAGGAACTTGTCTAGAGGAGAAAGAACTGGTAGTTTATATCCAGAAATCCCTGGAAATTCCCATCTGCAGTAAAACTGATCTATTTCCACCACAATGATATGTAAAGGGCTGTCTGTGTTTTGTAAGAATGATGTGTTCATTTTAGAAAACAGTTGTGATATGTCAATTGTATTCAACACTGATTATTCCAAAGGCATTACTGTCTTAGCCCACTGGCATTTCAATGCTAATTTGAAAGTCTTGTGTGAAGCGACAGTCATTTGCATAGGGGTGACAGTAAGTTTAATCCCTGCACCCGTGACTTACATCTTCGTTTCCAGAAAACCAAATTTTCTTTCACTCTAGACAAGCGAGGCTTGATTCAATTAGGAATCTGTCATGGATGCTTTAGCTGAGATTCCTGCATCACAGGGGGGTTGGATTAGATGACCCTCAGGGTCCCTTCCAACTCTAAGATTCTGTGATTCTATTAATCCAAATATTCCTGAGAATGAATACTCTGTTGAACCTAAATTAATAAGTGCTGCCATTTTGCTACAATTAATTAATTTGTGACGGCAGAAACAATGCTAGAAAGTGTATTAAAGAGCTAAAATAGTTATAGCTATACATTTTTCCTTATTACTGGACAAGGTAAAAAAGGGGGAAGGTAGAGGGAAAGGCAGAAATGTCCCCCTCCCCTCCCAATCTCCACATGCATATGCTGCTGGATAATGTGCAGTATTTCCTTTTTGTTTTTTTTTAAGTGAATGGGTGGTAATAGTTATTTTTCAATTCACTCACACAAAACGGAAACAAAAGCAACAAAAGGAGCTCTGGGATTAAGGGCTCTGCTGTCCTCAATCAATTATATGCCTGTAGCAGACAGCTCCCAGTTATGCACCTGTTTTTAAATTGAAAGCTGCTATATATTCCTGTCTAAGAAAGTGAGGGGATGGGTAGGTGGGAAAGAAATCAGTGAAACTATCATTCTCTTGGAGGTCAAATAGGGCATCTTATTAGCGTTCTTCGCTCTCTTCCCTTATTGACTACTTCTGAATAGAAAATAAATTCAAATTGTTATCATGGGGGGGGAGATGGGCATAATCTTCTCTTGATGGGAGGAAAGCACATAATAATTTTGTATGTGTGACAAATTCCTTATCTCACAAGCTCATCATGCATAAGGATGGGAGGGATGAAGAACTTGGGAGCAGGCTGCTTCTCTTGATTACATTACCCCTTGCCCAGCTCTGCTATTAATTTCCTTTTGCTATGCTCATATCTCTTAATATTAGAAAAATTCAAAGGACATGAATATAGGATTCTTCCATCTCTGTACAAGGTGAAGAATGAAAATGGCTCAGGTATTTTATTGCTTGCATTCATTCAAATCACATTATGAAGCCTATGTGAGAAGAAACAGTACTGCCTCATTATTTGACTAATATGTCACGTATTATTAATTTGCACCATGGTTGCAAAAAATAAAACTTGTACTATAGTGAGTTAGCACATTGGACAATATAGTCCAGTTTTATCTATCAGATATTTCATTTTATTAAGTATATTTGTTTTTTAAAACGTTGATTTTATCTATATTTTCATAATTTTATTACCGTATGTCTGTTTTTTATATTCTGCTAATTTTAGTGGTATTTTCTTGTGACTATTTTATACTATTTTATGTAAATTGCCTAGAAGTCTTTTTAATCTTACTAAGTGGTAAATATATCTGGAAAACATAGTCTTCAACACAGCAATTGACAGTATCCAGACTCTGCATGTATTGGAAGAGCTGGATGCCATAAACTCTCAGGCATGTGGGAAAGCCACAGGACAGGACGGAATCCTGGCAGAAGTGCTGAAAGCCAGCCTCAACTCCACCCTCATGATGCACTTCCAGGGCCTTCTCTTGCAGGTGGGAAGCAGAATCCGTGCCAAAAGACATGCATGATTCCAGCATTGTGACCCTCTAGAACAGCGGTTCTCAACCTGTGGGTCCCGAGATGTTGTTGGACTACAACTCCCATCATCCCTGAGCTCTGGCCTTGCTAGCTAGGGGTGTAGTCCAGCAACATCTGGGGACCCACAGGTTGAGAAAGGCTGCTCTAGAACAAAGGGGGCCACCATGAGTGTAACAACTACTGTGGAATCTCCCTGCTGAGGGGAAAGCCTTTGCCCATGTAGTTTTCAACCAATTACAGTTGCTTGCCGACAGGGTCTATCCTGAGTCACAATACAGCTTTAGAGCTCAGAGGTCAACAGTTGACATGCTTTTCTCACTATGTCAGCTGCAGGAGAAATGCTGAGAGCAGAGATGCTCCTTGTACATTGTCCTCATAGACCTGACAAAGGTCTTTGGCCTCATCAGCCAAAAAGGACTCTTCATGCTGCTCAACAAGATAGGTTGCCCACCTAAGCTCCTCAAGATGATTGTGTCTTTCCAGGAGAACGTGCATGGCACCACTCATCCTCGGTTCATCCTATGTTCTTGCCCCAGCTCTCTTTGGCATATTGTCCCTGGTGCTCTCATATATCTGCAGCTCAACTGAATATGGTGTGTACTTTCATTCAAGGAGCAAGAGGTCCAATACCAAGATGATGGTCTACCAGGCTTGCATGTTGAGAACGCTGCTTTATGGAAGTGAGTCATGGGCAACTTACTGTACACTTGCCAGGAGCAGCACCTCAATGCCTTCTACCTGTCAGGGAGATTTGGGACATCATATGGCAGGACAGAGTCTCACACAAAGATGTGCTCTTCCAAGCCCACATTCCCAGCATGTTTGCATGCAGTGACATCTATGCTGGCTTGGTCATGTACTTTAACAGGAAATATTGCGGCTTTATATGTGTCAGGTATGGGGCCATACAACTGATCTACTTGAAACAGACATGTCCAACTGCACTTCTTGAACTATCGAATATTTTTGTAGTTTAATATATTAGAGCAGGACTGGAGAACATTCAGCCTGCCAAGGGGTCCAACTTGACTCATGAGGCTATTAAAATACAACAGACAGTCCTTCCTGGGTGGGGTCAAAATCTGAATTGGTAATGTGCACCCAACACACAGTCGGAAGCTGTTTGAAAGCCCTTCTGCAGACAGCCTCATGCTGCTTTTTGAACCTCCAGTCTGGGCAGATGTAAAGGGCAGTGCAGGGCTGTATGCAAAAGGGCTTTCAAACAGCCCATGCTACACTTAGAAGGCCCAACATTTGGGGCCTAAAAGTGCAGCATAACATTATTTCATAGCAGCATGAGGTGACTGACAGGTTGGTGGTCTCACCCATCACATTTGACCTGCCAGAGTTGGGGAGAGAAAGGTTCTCTACCTCTGGGATAGGGTGCTGTAGTGCAGAGATTTCCTTACTTCATTGAAATCTTATCTCAGTTATGAAAAGGGGCTACGAGATAACCCCAGGCAAACCATTCTCTAATATCCACCCTAGAATAATAACTATTAATAAAAGACCCTTCTAAATAAAAACACCAAAGTGTGCTTCAGTGTATAAAGAGGAGAAGAAGAAGAAGAAGAAGAAGAAGAAGAAGAAGAAGAGGAGGAGTTTGGATTTGATATCCTGTTTTATCACTACCCGAAGGAGTCTCAAAGCAGCTAACAATCTCCTTTCCCTTCCTCCCCCACAACAAACACTCTGTGAGGTGAGTGGGGCTGAGAGACTTCAGAGAAGTGTGACTAGCCCAAGGTCACCCAGCAGCTGCATGTGGAGGAGCGGGGAAGCAAACCCGGTTCACCAGATTACGAGTCTACCACTCTTAACCACTACACCACACGAGTTCTATAGTTCTATAGTTTGGGTATCAAGCACATTGCTTGCCGAGAAACATGAGGCTGGATTTTAGATGATAACTCTCTTCTCATGGGACAATCCTGCCAGAGAAAAGGAGTGGGGAAGTGATTTTTTATTATTTTACAACCCCAGAAAAGCTGGTTCAGAAGGTTTTGAGCCCTGTGGAACAGTATGGAAATGGCACGGAGGCGGCAGGGGGAACGTGCCATGCTCAGATAAGGCACAAGTCCACATCGATTCACAATGTTTGTTACATTCCTCTTGGGTGGGTTATTAATAATTTTTCTACAACTGGAATAAAGAGATTGTACACTGAGATATTTCGTGGCAGCCATAAGCAGAAAACAGAGTGTATCTATGAACCAAATGTAGGTTCTTTTAAATAGCTGATTGAGCATACTATAATGCATTGGTGGGGATCCTGTGGCCCTCCAGATATTGCCTGACTATAGTTCCCAACAGTTTCAGCCAGAGTGACCAGAGTGGTCAGAGATAAAGGGAGCTGCAGGATAGCTAAAAGTTCCCCACCACTGCCACTGCATCTGCCCCATTTGGTTTGGCCTCATCTGGTACAAAATAAACACAATAACTAAGAAGTGATTCTAAATCTAGTCCAAATACACTGGCCTCACAGCCTACTCTGAAGCAAGAGTGAAAATCTGATGTCAAAGGTAGGGCTATTTATTTGGGAGAAAAACTGCAGACTAGCATAGTTGAGTAATGGCTATGTATATCCACCTATATTTAGAATTCTGCAATGGCAAAAAATAGAGCAAAATTTTACTATCTTTAGAAATTATGCATATTTGCTGATTTTTCTTTGTATAAATTATTCTGCAATTGTTATTGTTTTGGTGTTTGTTACTCGGGTGGAGTGGTAGTGACTGAAGTGCCAATCCCTGATCACTGGCATCTTACTTAGCTTTTGGGCTTTTGATATGTTACCTCAGGCATAGGCAAACGCCGACCCTCCAGATGTTTGGGACTACAATTCCCAATATCCCTGACCACTGGTCCTGTTAGTTAGGGATGATGGGAATTGTAGTCCCAAACATCGGGAGGGCCAGAGTTTGCCTATGCCTATGTTACCTCCATATATCTAAACATTCCTCCCCCAAGTATAAAATATAGAAAGTTGCATTTTCGAAACAAAACAAAAATAAAATTCGCAACAACAAGGGCCCCAAAATGAAAGCAAAGCTTCTGAGGAAGGTCAGTTCTACACCAACAACTGCATCCTGCACTACATCCTGCACTACAGCTCTTTGTACTTTCCCAGAATCATAGCACACATGCATCCTTAGAAATAATGGCAGAAATTAACGTATGCTTCTTTTTCTTGAACTTGTCAATCACATTTCTAGAGAAATCATCTTTACAGAAGGTGACAATAAAAACACACACCAAGCAATCATCACAAAAGCAGCTCTAGGAAGAGTGTGAAAACACATCAGCAGAGCATGGAAATAAATTCCAACAGAAAATTGAAACATCAAAGTAGCAAATAAAGAAAGCATGGAAACTTCCAAAGGTGTCGTGCTCCTTGAATCCAGCAGCAACCCAGAAGCAGCTGGAGGCTACAGAGGGACCAGCTAAGGCTTTCACTATGGCTTTCATCAGTAGAAGCTATAGCGGTGAAGAAGAATAACATGACGGAAAACTGGGTAACTTATATAAATTTGTTAAAAGAGGGTGGAAAATTCAAATTAAAAGTTTAAGGATTTATCAGGAATATTAACAATGTGGATACAACATTATCATTTAATAAAATATTCAAAATGGGTAAAAAACAGGAGTTTGGGGAACAAGTGTCTCAACTAGAAAGAGACCTGCTAGACTGTAAAGTTAAAGTGATGTCTAAAATGTATAAAATATTATTGGAATGAGACACAAAAGATGAACAAGTGAAATCTTCAATGATACATTGGGCAATACATATTGGTCATAACATAGAAATGGAGGCATGGGAAAGACTGTGCAACATGGAGATAAAATTTACAGCATGTTATGGTTTAAGAGAAAACTGTATGAAAATGTTATACAGATGGAATCTAACACCAAAAAGATTGGCAAAAATGTACAAATCCAAATTGAATATGTCCTGGAAATGCAAAGGGGAAAAGGTACCTTTTTTTCCATATGTGGTGGTCTTATAATAAGGTTAAAACTTACTGGGAAATGATATATAATGAATTGAAAAAGATGTTTAAGTTAACATTTGTTTAAAAAAAAAGGAGGAAGAAGAAGCCTTTTTCTTGAGAATTCTGGGGTCAGAGTTACCTAAACAATATAGAAATTTATTTATGTCTGCAATCACTTCCGCAAGAATGATATTCGCACAAAAATGGAAAGAAGAAGTCCCAATGAAAAAAAGAATGGTTACAGAAATTAATGGACTATGCAGAAATGGCGAAACTTACAAGAAGAACAAGAAATCAAGACAACAGCCTTTTTATCAAGGAATGGAAATTGTTTATTGAATATTTACAAACAAATTGTAAACAAATTAAGACACTATCAGGATTACTTGTCTGTTCCAAAGGCAACACATTGTGTCCTCTGTCAATTAATCTGAGGGCAGATGCAGATCTAGGTACTGTGTCTGGTAACCATACAGAAAGTTTTAACAGTGTTGGCTCATAGGTAAATAGGATTACAGGGAATCTTGGTACTGCCAGTTCTATATATTGTTGCATGCCACCCCAATCTCTGAGCAGTGTGAGATTCCAGAGGTTTTAGATGCTTACCCAGGGCTTGGTTTCCTTGGAATGAGGAGCAGCAGAGACTGTGGTGTCTTTATGATATATGGTTTATTTACAGTCATATACAACCTGAGCCTGTGATGGAGGGGCTCACAGATTTAACACCCCAGAAGGTCTTGCTTCTCCCATAGCCACAACCTTGGATTCAAGCAGAAATCAAGCATGGCTCTCACTCTCAAGCTTCTGCCTGCAGCCTGCTTCTAGCCCAGCTCTCTCAAACAACTACTCTCTGGTTATTCTCCTTCTTACTACCAGCAAGGAGAGGCCTCTCCCCCCCACATCTGTCCTTACAGTGGTACCTCGGGTTAAGAACTTAATTCGTTCCAGAGGTCCGTTCTTAACCTGAAACGGTTCTTAACCTGAGGTGCACTTTCGCTAATGGGGCCTCCTGCTGCTGCGCCGCTGGCGTGTGATTTCCATTCTTAACCTGAAGCAACCACTTCCTGGTTAGCAGAGTTTGTAACCCGAAGCATCTGTAACTTGAAGCATCTGTAACCCAAGGTACCATTGTACTTTCTTATGCTGAGAAACTTCCTTTCTTATACTAATGACCCATACTTAAGGGCCACTACAGCCCTTGCCTGGCTAATTCAAATCCATTAGATTTTAACCCTTTTTGGATCCAGGAATTAGAAGGGACTCAGACATCATACAGCCTAATACAGATACACCCACACCCACACACACTCTCAAACTCACAACAAAGTAAAGTTTATCTTTATTTTGGTTTCTTACATTTAAGCCACATTCAAATTTCATGTCTTCAATGTGCTTTTGCAATGGCAAATGTTGCAAACTTCTTTTTTCTAAAATCTTAATGCCAATATTCTTCCACAAAAAGAAAAAAAGAAGTTTTCAAGCTAAAAATAATTGACTGGTATGTGACATGCTGTGACCTCTTCTTTAAGTTCATGATGAGGGCACGCTCCTCTCCAGTAAGTCAGAGGTAGTAGGGAAATGAAGGAATAATTGACACTTATTCTGCATGTGCTACATTGGCTCTGTGGGTAATTATTTCTATCTATAGTACTGTCAAGCCAGCATTTGTTGTTATATCTATAAAGGTACAGATATGATGTTGAACTTTACAGTTCAGTTCAGTGAAAGGATCCCAAATTGTGAAGGATAAGAATGGGAAATAAATTTTAGTGATTTGATTTGGTCTTAATTTACTTTTAAAATTTATAGAATGATTTTTATGTGCCCCTTCTTCTCCTCTTAATGCTAGTATGATAATTTTTTCTATGTTTTTATCTGTAAGCCACCTTGAATCCCTGTCTGGGAAAAGGTGGGATAGATAGTATGGGGATGTTTAGGAAAATAGGCAAGGAAATATTTGTTAAGTATTATCCTTCATTCACGATGTAGCAGAGCAAATCCCTCTATATTCACAGAAGCTAGTTGATTAGATTCATTTGAATCTCTACAAAATGACTAATCCAATCTGTCTTGCCCAGATGGATTATCTCTGGTGTCCCCTTTCTGCCCTCTTAAAATACAATAAAGATTCACAAGTCTGTCTTTAAAAGTATAACAATAAGTTTACTTACAAGTTGTTCACAGTACACACCCTAGAAGGCAGGCTTTAAGCTTCAGGTTACAAACATGTAATGTGGCTTACATCCTTTGTGAGGATGGGCCTACCGTAAGTGCTGCTGGCTAAGAGCCAGCAGCCAACAAAATGTAAGAGACTTAACTAAGAGTTGAATCAAACAGAACAGAGAATGAATGGCTGCGTGACTCTGCTTTTATAGAGTCACACTCATCTGCTGAGTAACAGCAGGAACAGGAAGTTACACATCCCCCTGTCTCTGTTCACTCTAGGAAGTAAAGCATGTTGCAATTGACTGTACTGATATAACACATTCCACAGAAAGATAGGTAGGTAGATAGATAGATAGATAGATAGACCGATAGAAGTAAGGCTTGAGATGCAGCAGCAACCCCACTGCCTGAGACAGCGCCTTGCTAGAGAACTGTGTGTGCTATGCTCCTGTAGAATTACATAGTCTATTTAAGGGAGGGAAATTGTTGTTGTTGTTAAAAATGTATTTCTAAACTTGAATGCAGACTGTTGAGCAAATTATGAACTTTTCTCCCCACTCCTTGCACATCTTCCACATTAAACCTATGACCTAAGGAGCCATACTAACTTTTCAGATATGTAATTTATGTTAAGAAACAACCCTCGGCCCTACTGGTGTAAAAATATTTAAAATAACATATATTTCCATATTTAATACTTACATTGATGGGAACCTTTCCTATGCAAATCCCCAAATCCCATTTAAATAGAATTGCACATATATGCTCAATCAAAGTCTGTTTTGGGGGACGGGATCTAAGATCCATGTCTCTCAACCCTGCTTATGGGCGAATGGCCCTTTATGTGCAGACTGGAGTCCTGCAGAGCTTTGGACTGGGCTGATAACTGTTTTGCTGATACCATGATGAAAAATGCAGAAAAAGATAATCCATGTAAGAGTGCTTTTCTAAGACTGTTGTGTAAGCAGACAAAACACAACTTTATTAAAAATGTGCGGTTCCAAAAATATATTTCACCAGCTAAAATATACTATTGTATTATTCAATGATTTGAGGCCCAGAAGTCTATTTGCACCTTTCCAGTAGTTGATATCAGCCACTGAGCAGATGGGCAGCTTCCTAGTGTTACTTTAATTGTCACACATGGAATGAAATTCTCACACCTTATTTTCAGCTTGCTGCCAGAAATACTTTACAATACAGAAAGACTTTTCCAAGCCAAGGACATCTGAAATGTGCTTTTTTGCTTCCACCTTAAGGAAAAATCACTCCATCTTTCTTTTGGAATATATGAATGGCCAGTTAAGAACACAATGACGATTTAAAAATTATTACATTATCAAGAAAATAATCATGTCAGCAATTATTATATAGGAAATTATCGTGCTGATTTGAGTCCTGCAGCCTCCTCCTCTCTGGACTTTCATCATCACACATCAACCCTCTCAGCTCTTTCTAGAACTGCCAAAATAATTCACTTGTCTCATGGTTCAGGGAACAACACCTTCTTTAAATCCCTACATTGGCTCCCAGAAGTCAGAGTAAGTTCCTCATCTTTAAGTTTTTCTATTGTCTTGTCCCCCAGTTCTCATAGGGTCTACTTGCAGTTATTTAAATTATTGTGAAGAATGAATGAGAACTTTTTTAAAAAGTCAGCAAAAGCATTCATATACTATGCAGGATTTGGAACAGCTTTGTTTGAAAAATGAGTAACACAGAAAGCATTTTCACTTAAAACGTGTAGTACATCATCTATGTGCCTTTCTCTGACCACACAAATGGAGTAATTCAAATTGCCCCACACTCTATTGATTTAACATTTGTTTCTTTTGAACACAAACAACTTTAATACACTTAGGATTTTAGTACCTCTAGATAAGTATATATTATGTACCGCACAAGATCTGTTGAGGACAGTGCTGTTGCAGAGTCCAATTTAAATTTCTAGACAAAGCATTTGTAATATTGCTACTCTGTATGCAAAGAAAAAGAAAGCAGGACTTGCACTCAGTCTAAAATATACCACAATTCCTCTGCTTTTTTCCTGCCTCCCCTGCTTCTTATTATGCTTGTGGAAATGCAGCCATCAGATTCCACCAAAATAGCACAAAAGTAGCATAAACAGCAGTTCAACTAATACTTGGGACTAACAGTGCTAAAAGCCTCTTTTTCCACTTTAACCTTTTCATTCATTTCTATGTACTCTGCTTTTCTTTTCATGCAGTTTATTCAGTCCATTTGAATCTGTTGGCGGCAGCTCGATTATCCCTATTGTCCCATGTACTCGCCAAAGCAGCACCATCTGTTGCACAGCTGCAATGTTTTCTGCATTGGCTAAAATATAATGGCCCATTAAAACAATGGGGAAAAGACACAGTGGAACATTTGGACTTCTGTTAGTCACCCGGTTATGCCAATCCGGTTCCCTTTGTTCCCATTTTTGTACTGGAATAAATTCAAATACAATCCTCATCATGCAAAGAAAATGAAAGGAGATTCACCCACAAATCTTTCCTTTATTATTGCCATTTTTTTGTACTGGCATGTCACTCTACCCTGCTGATGCTAATACACAATGATTAACTTTTGCACATGACCTTACGCAGCAATTACCATATTTTTTGCACCACAACACTCACTTTTTTCCTCCTAGAAAGTAAGGGGAAATGTCTGTGCGTGTTATGGAGGGAATGCCTATGGGTGGTGGTGGGGATCTGCTGCAGTCGTGAGCAGAGGATCCATGGTTCCCCTTCCTTCCCTCCTCTGTGGCTCGCTTTGAAACCGCAAAGCGGGAGAAGAGCCGCTGCCGGGGATGAGTGGGGAGGAGGGAGAAAAGCAGAGCCTGCTTGCTTTAAAGGAGCAAAGTGGGAGAGGAGAGGAGCCTTCTCCCCTTATACCCCTCTTCTTCATTATTAGCAGCATCCTTCTCCACCCACCCCACGCATGTTCCTTCTCCCCTTAAACCCCTCTTCTGCATTATTAGCAGCATCCTTCTCCACACACCCCACACATGCTCCTTTTCCCTTGAGTGCTTTTCCTTCCCTCCCCACTTAAAACGTGGTTACAAAGCATGGATCCACATGGATCCTCAGGATTTTTGCATTGGGCTACTCCAAACTCACTGTCAGATCACATGTCTGTGGCCACAGCATGAACCACAAAACTCATACATCCACTGTTTCATTTAGAATATTTTTTTTTCTTGTTTTCCTCCTCTAAAAACTACGTGCGTGTTATGGTTGGGTGTGTGTTATAGAGCGAAAAATACGGTAAATCTTAAGGCTACACCTCTAAGCATGGTTATTATGCTGAAGTTCCATTGAGATCAGTGGGGCCTACAGAACAATAACTTAATAAACTGCAACTATAAGCAACACTAATAAGCAAATCCTAAACATTAATTATGCTCTGAGGTGGTGGTGGGGATGGTGGAGATATGCTGCTGCTGTTATGTCAGTGGAACGATTGTTGTACAGTGGTACCTCGGGTTACATACGCTTCAGGTTACACACTCTGCTAACCCAGAAATAGTGCTTCAGGTTAAGAACTTTGCTTCAGGATGAGAACAGAAATTGTGCTCCGGCAGCGTGGCGGCAGCAGGAGGCCCCATTACTAAAGTGGTGCTTCATGTTAAGAACAGTTTCAGGTTAAGAACGGACCTCCGGAACGAATTAAGTACTTAACCCGAGGTACCACTGTATCTTATATGTGCTCAGCCCAGGACAGCTTGGAAAAAAATTTCCAAATGGTGGGAAAATGGCAAGCATGTCTCCAGAACCTCTGGAAACACCACCAAACCCATCTATCAGGGGTTGTGCCACTGCTCACATGCTACACACAAAGGGAGAACATGCACCTATGACTCAATGGGAATGCACATACAAAGCACACAGCAGGCAAAAGGATGTCAATGCTCCTATGGCATTACTGCCAATCCACTGCCAGCCTTATAGACAGAGTTTCAAGTCCCCTTATGCTGCTTTCTAGCAGTTGCTTCTTTTGGAGCAAAACACAAAAAAGAAGCATAGCCTATGCAATGTAGCATCCACACAACTGCCCTGGAAGGAGGCCTGCAGAGAGCATACACAGCTCTCCTGCAACAAGGGTTCATAACTTCAAGGGTTCAAGGAATAAAGACATTTTTGGCCAAGCAGCCAAAGGGAGGGTCCAGGACATGTAACAAAGGGAGCTATGGGCACATATTGACAACAGTAGTGTCTAGTGCACACTTCACAGCTCCTGGACTGGCAAGAAAGAACTAAGAGCCCCAGAAGGAAGAGGCAGTGAACATGGCCCCACTAACATTTTGCATCACTGAAAAAGAAAAATACCCAGGGGCAAAATGGAGGGGGTTCCCAGAACTTGAACCTATACAGCAAACACCACAGGGCTGTTCCCTAACTACTTAATCATTTAGCAATCAGACACACCATGGGGCATCTGTTTTCCCCGCTGGCCCCAGTTGCACAAACCAGTTGTAGATGCCAGGAGCACAGGGACTGCAGGAGAAGCCCTAGCTAGGTATAACAGCACATGTTTTGATGCTTATGTAGAAGAAGTTTCCAACAGCATTTACTGAATCTACCATGTATTACTGAAATATCTCTTGTTGCCAGATTTTTATTCATAAGTGATCCATGGGATTCAATGTTACCATTAAGAAATGACTAAGAGCACAATAGTTGCAAACTATATTTTTTCCCAAGGTATTTGAACCAAAGCAGTGAAGTGATATTGACTACAATGAATCTGAATGGGTTTTCCATGTTTGGCTGAACCATAATGTTTTTTGAAGTTGAAGGATTACACAAATTCACATTACTTTGTCTGCTTCAGTTCACACTGAAGCTTTTTCACTGCACAGCTGTTAATTATACAAAAGGAATAGTAGATATCACTGCCACTTTTATGTTCTGTTTTTCAGACGTACATTTAACCCTATGGGAGGATTCAGTGACAATCTACAGCAACACTGGCACAATACCAAGTTACCCTAGCTGAGGATAGTCTCCATGCTTAATTCAAATAGAAGCAAGTTGACATTTTCAATGTACCGTATTTTTCGCTCCATAAGGCGCACCTGCCCATAAGGCGCACCTACTTTTTGGGGGGGGGGGGATTCAAGAAAAAATTTATGTGGCTCTAGGGGCTTTTGCGGGAGGTGGGGGAAGTGAGAGAGCCTCGCTCTGTCCCTTCCCCCACCTCCCGCAAAAGCCAGGGATAGCCGTGCGAAGCCTCCACAGGGCAGCGGGATGAAGGCTCCCCGCTGCCCTGCGGAGGCTTTGCAGGCTACCCAGAGCTGCTAAGGAGCTTGTCGGGGCTGGAGGGGGAAGCCCGGGTTTTCCCCCCCAGCCCCAAAGAGCAGCTCGGGGAGCAGTGGACAGGTTGCGTGCAGCCTTCCTGCTGCTCCCAGAGCTAGTCAGGGCTGGCGGGGGAAGCCCGGGTCCCCCCCCAGCCCCAGGGACCACACATTCGCTCCATAAGACACACAGACATTTCCCCTTAGATTTTAAGAGGGAAAAAAGTGTGTCTTATGGAATGAAAAATACGGTATTTTAAACCAGTTTTGTGAATGCCTAACAGCCTTCTGCAACCTGGCACTTTCCAGATGTTTGGGACTGCAACTCCCACCAGCTCTAGCCAGCATGGCAAATGGACAGGACAGCGGGAATTGTAGTGTATTTGACCGTAACTCAAGCTGCAATCCTGTACCTACTTACCTGGCGGTAAGCAATGTTGCTCTCAGTGGGGCTTTCAGAATAGATAGGTGTAGGATTACACTGTTCAGCATGCACTTAAGCCTGCACATCTTAGTCTGGTCAAATTCAGTGGCAAGAATCAAAAGATTAGCTGAAACACGTGGATTAGCAAAGGGCTTTCTATAGGTGGTCATAATGAGAAACTAAAATTCCCCTCATTCAAGTGGGTTGCAGGAGCTGATCCTAAAAAGATGGAAAAGGGGATCTGCAGTACTATGGACCTTGGAGGGTTAGCAGTAGTCAGGCAATGTGTGGACCTGGTTATGAAGATAACTTTTTGTACTTGATGTGGACACTTAAGGTGGTATTATGTGACCCATATCCATGTGATTCCATCTTAAATTATGCACATGTAATAATAAAAACCCTGTTTGCAAGTGTGTTTTTTTTTAAAAAAAGAGGAATAGGGATAATGAGGAAGCTTAGACACAGACATGTCACATACTTTTTTTTGTAGAAAACCATCTCATAGAAACTGGGACTGTGAGATTTCAAAGGCAGTGGATATAATTGTCTGAAAGACTCCTGGAAAAGCACAGCCATTCAGCAGATAAATAGCTCTGGGAGATGAAACATCATTGTGTAGCAGGCCTCTAAGAAATGAACTATTTTTATGCGATAACTCTCTTTTACTTAAGTTCAAAGATTTACAGGAAGTCAGTGTCATATAGGCATTGCATAATTGAAATCAGATCCTTTGTTGAACTGCAAATGTTAATGAATAAGTCTCCGTGAAACAGGTAATCTTAAAGATTTCTGATCAAGCACAGATTATAGTATGAAATTTGTTTTACCCCTTTTTAGGATTATGTATTTTGATAAAATACTGGAAAAGACAGATGTTGAATTAATTTCTACACACATACTAATCTACATAGCAGAAAGTTTATTGCATTATCACATGATCTCTCTCTCATGCTTGCAAAGCAGACATCCGCTTGCATAACAAAACTTTCCCTTCCTCTCACCTACAACCCCCTCACCCTCAAAATCTGCTTCAGATTATTAGAGGATCCTCCAGAGCAGTTTGGGGGGCATAAAGGTTAAGGAGAGGAAGGGGAACTCCACTCAGGCCACATTGGAAGCAACCCATAATTTGTATCTTATACTGTACTCGGTCCAACATATAACATTATATATGTATTTGATCATTTTTTCACACTAAAATTTATTTTTTCTATTTTTTGTTAAAGTTTGTGTTCAATTTCTCTCTCAATTACCATTCAGTTACATAAACCTAAGGTGCTCAGAGATAAAGTGAGTTAAGAAATGAACACCATTTTATATGCTAAAAGGTGCTATTTAGTTTCTCTGAAAGAAAGAGAAC